GAACCAACTATGAAAGAGACAAGGAGCAGGAAAATGAAAATCAAAATGATACCTCCAACACTGAGAATGGCTGGGCTGGAAAATATGCACTTGGTATGCGGCAGTAATGGGCTTCCTAATAAGAAACCCCAAAATAAGACAAAATCACCCAGTTGTAGACACAGTGGACAGCCACAGGAATTTGTGTTGAAGTTATCCCCAGAAAACTTTTCAAGCAGAGGAGCAAGAAATGATGTGTAGGAAAGTTTGGCCTCCAGGAAAGGATTAGAGAGGAAGGGGCCAAGCAAAAGACCACCCATTTTCCCATCCCAGGCTCACCAATCAGGGCAAGAGGCAGTATGCTCAGGGAATCATTTTCCCTCCTGGAAACGAGAGGAGTTGAGAAAAAGTGTTCCTCTTCCTTGACAGTTCACCTTGGATGTTGTCCAGCACCATATGTAACTACATGACAAAGAACTAGCGTGAACAGGAATTTTAGGAGAGGGAGGCATCATCTAACACTTGGGAATAAGAGAACAATCTTGACCTGATTCTTAGTGGGAGGATTTGAGTGGAGGAAGAGGCATTCCTGGGACTGGAGGGAGCATCTGGGGATGGTGAGTGGGGAAGACTATCCCAGCAGCAAACATGGAGTTTTCCAATCTTACTTACCCTTTTTACTCCTGTTTCCAAGATCTTCTCCTCATTACTGACACGTGACCTCAGATTTCAGCCTCTGCACCTCTGTTCCCTCTGGTCTAGCTAGCTGGCTTCCCTCACAACCCACCTCTATCTGGAGAGACCCCGAAGACCTCTGCCATACACCTCACACACGAATCCTTGAGAAGACCTGCTTCCATCCTCTCTACAAACAGAATTCCTTCTCCCCCCTCAGTCTCTCTTCACTTTTTCTTTGGGCATATATCATATTCTACACTGGTTCTTAGTTATTCTTAAATGCAACTGCCTCTCAACCAGATTATAAAGTTCACTGGGTCTAAAACTTGCCTTTTTATCTCTCAGCAGTCTAGGATAGCCAGAGTTACATGAATGCACTTTTCATTCTAGGAATCTCAAGCATTGGTGAATAGTGTTTCTTTAGGTAAGATTAATCTTTGTTTTTGGAAAAATCCTTCATAACCTTGCATCTTAAAAGAGAAAATGGGGACTTCCCTGGTGGCCCAGTGGTTAAAAATGTGTCTTCTAATATAGGGAATGTGGGTTCAATCCCTGACAGGGGGAACTAAGATCCCACATGCTGCAGGACAACTATGCCTGTGCGTTGCAACTAAGCCCTGATGCAACAAAAAATAAATAAGTATTTTTAAAAAGAGAGAGAAAAGGTAACTTCATCATTCCAGTCCTATTTGTTTTATAGCAAAGATCAAGGTAGACTTTAAAGAAAAAGCAACAGCCAGGTGGGGCCACAAGTACTTAACTGCCAACTTTAGTTCAAACACCACAATTAATTTAGGTGTCCTTGATGGTGAGTTTCAGGTACAGAAAAGGCTATAGTTATTTTGGACTTTAATGTTTATCATAGTTATTAATTCAAAACTCTATTTATTACCCAAACTTTTATTTTTAAAAAATTTTATTGACGTATAGCTGATCTACAATGTTGTGTTATTATATTTTCAAGCATACAGCATAGTGATTCAGCCATACATGCACATATACGTGCATGTATTTTTCAGATTATTTCTCAGATTCATCTCCCATACAGGTTACCACAGAACACTGAGTAAATCTCCCCATGCCGCAGATTAGGTCGCTACTGGTCATCTACCCTATATATATTTATTAGTGTATGAATGTCAATCCCAAGCGCCCAGTTAACCCCTCCCCACCACATTTCCCCCTTGGTAACCAGGCAGAAGATCTAAATAGACCTTTCTCCAAAGAAGGTGTATAGATGGCAAAAAAAGTGCTTGAAAAGATGCCCAACATTACTAATTAATCAGAGAAGAGCAAATCAAAACTACAATGAGGTATGAACAGCCATCATCAAAAGTCTACAAGCAATAAATGCTGGAGATGGTATGGAGAATAGGGAACCCTTCTACACGTTGGTGGGAAAACAAATTGATATAGCCGCTGTGGAAAACAGTATGGAGCTTCCTTTTAAAAGCTTCCTTAAAAGAGCTAAAAATAAAACTACCATATGATCCAGCAACCCCAGTCCTGGGTATACATCTGGAGAAAATCATAATTTGAGAAGGTACATGCACCCTAATATTCATTGCAACAATATTTACAGTAGCAACCCAGATATTCATTGACAAAAGAATGGATAAAGAAGATGTGGTACTTATTTTATGTACACAATCCAATGTTATTCAGCCATAAAAAATAATAAAATTATGCCATTTGCAGCAATGTGGATGGACTTAGACATTATCATACTTAGACAGAAAAAGACGAATATCAGGTGATGTCACTCATATCTGGAATCTGACTAAAAAGAAAGATATAGATGGACTTGTTTTGTGGGACAGAGGCAGATTCACAAATTTCTAGGAAAGACTTGTGGTTACCTAAGCTTTTAAGTTTAATTTATAACTTTATAACTCCTGGTCTACAACACTATATTGAATTCCATATTGCTTAATATTCTCCTCTGTCTTGCACCTATTCCCACCTGCTTTACAGGAACAGCTAACCTCATTCCCTGCCTATTTGGATCTAGGAGGTTTGTTTGTTGGTTTGGTTTGGGTTCACTGCTCTTTCAAGACATTCTAATGTCTGCTTGATTCTAAAGACTCTTTTACTGGACATTTCACTTGATTCCTCAGACTTTAAGGTATTTCTTTCATAATTTTTACCACCTAATTTGAGAAGATCAGATCTAATAAACATTTTTCCTCTCATTTTTTTTCTTCTTTTGCCAAGGCCACAATTCCTAAGGATAGCAATGTGACACCTAGTAGGCTTCTGTGCTCTCTGTGGCTTTGTGAGACTTGAGTTATAATACTAAAGTCACATTAATGACAACAAACACCTGGAAAAGCCATCTTACACTCCAGCTAATTTAATTTAAAACTGCAATCCTCCTTTGAATTCTCCTATATGCAGTCAGGAAGCAACAGTTAGAATGGACATAGAACAACAGACTGGTTCCAAATGGGAAAAGGAGTACATCAAGGCTGTATATTGTCACCCTGCTTGTTTAACTTATATGCAGAGAACATCATGAGAAATGCTGGGCTGGAGGAAGCACAAGCTGGAATCAAGATTGCTGGGAGAAATATCAATAACCTCAGGTATGCAGATGATACCACCCTTGTGGCAGAAAGTGGAAGACTAGAGTGAAAAAGTTGGCTTAAATCTCAACATTCAGAAAACTAAGATCATGGCGTCTGGTCCCATCACTTCATGGCAAATAGATGACGAAACAGTGGAAACAGTGTCAGACTTTATTTTTTTGGACTCCAAAATCACTGCAGATGGTGATTGCAGCCATGAAATTAAAAGACACTTACTCCTTGGAAGGAAAGTTATGACCAACCTATATAGCATATTAAAAAGCAGAGACATTACTTTGCCAACAAATGTCCATCTAGTCAAGGCTATGGTTTTTCCAGTGGTCATGTATGTATGTGAGAGCTGGACTGTGAAGAAAGCTGAGCACCAAAAAATTGATGTTTTAGGACTGTGGTGTTGGAGAAGACTCTTGAGAGTCCCTTGGACTGAAAGGAGATCCAACCAGTCCATCCTAAAGGAGTCCTGGGTGTTCATTGGAAGGACTGGTGTTGAAGCTGAAACTCCAGTACTTTGGCCACCTCATGTGAAGAGTTGACTCATTGGAAAAGACCCTGATGCTGGAAAGGACTGGGGGCAGGAGGAGAAGGGGATGAGGGATGACAGAGGATGAGATGGTTGGATGGCATCACTGACTTGATGGACATGAGTTTGAGTAAACTCCGGGAGTTGGTGATGGACAGGGAGGCCTGGCGTGCTGCAATTCATGGGATCGCAAAGAGTCGGACACAACTGAGCGATTGAACTGAACTGAACTGAATTGAACCTCCTTTTACCTGGTTCTTTTTTTTTTTTTTCCTTAGCATCCTTCATCTTCAAGCATGGCATATAAGAATGGTTTATTGTGCTTGATTTTATTGTCATCTCCTGGCAACTGGAATGTACATTCCATGAAGGCAGGAAACTCTGCTGCCTTGTTCCCCAAAATATTCTTGCACCCAGAAGAGTGTGTGGCAGTTAGCCCTCAAAGGGACATGTTGAATGAGTATACGAATATCAGCCAAACAGGTTCCATATTTGTGGGACCCAGTGTAAAATGAGAACACAAAGAGTCTTATTCAAAAATGAGGAAGACTTGCAAGATAGTAACAGCAGAGTATTAACCAGCATTGGCTGCACCTCAGCATAGGATGCTATTTGACAACATAGGTCACATACCCAGAAAGCTGGCCCCAAATAGAAGTGTATGTGTGCTCGGTCCCTCAGTCGTGTCCCACTCTTTGCGACCGCGTGGACTGAAGTCAGTCAGGCTCCTCTGTCCATCGAATTTTCCAGGCAAGAATACTGGAGTGGGTTGCCATGCCCTCCTCCAGGGGATCTTCTTGACCTAGGGATCAAACTGCATCTCTTGCATTTCCCGCAATGGCAGGCAGATTCTTTACCACTAGTGCCACCCAGGAAATACAAGTGTACAAAGACACATGCTAAAGTGGCACAGGGAGCATGGACTTCAGTCCAGTTGTGCATTTGTCAGACCCACTTGGTTATAAACTCCTGGTGGGCAAGGTTTGTATGCTCTTCATGTTTTTGTGTCCAGTCTGTGTATCCTTGGCTATGTCACAAAGGCAGCATCATATGAGCAGTAAGTGATCCAGTGCCCAACACAGTAACAAACTGTTACTGATAACAAACAAATAGATATTACACAAGCACATGTTCGCAGAGGAACTTTCTGACCAAGAGTAGAGTGTTTCAAATTCAGAGTACCCTTTCATCTTCTGTGATCCCATGGATGGATGCAGGCGTCACTGAAGGCACGCAGTACTTTCAGTATTTATGTCTTATTTGGGGACCCTTGAGTCTGGAATTGTACCCTCAAGCTTGGTGCTAAAGAATCATCTCATACTTAGAGCATCTGTATTTTCACAGCAGGTACTCTGTCCAAGAAAGAAGTGTGAGGAAAAACATCAGCCACAGAAAATGCATCCCCAGGTCACAATCTAGGAAGCTAGCACACCAAAAACCCTGACAGAAACTACAGAAGTAGGTCAACTGCAAAGATGCTGTGAGAGCCTACATTCGTTCTTGAGGAATAAATTTCATGTAAGATTGGAAAATAAGTTTTTATAGAATAGGTATCTGTGAAAGCAATTTTTAGCTTGCCCCTTAAAATTTGGTTGGAAAATAACCTCATGAACAAATCAAGGAGAAAAAAAAAACAATTACTTTGGATATTTTGTTTTGCTTTTAAATACAGGGCACAGTAAGATTTCTTTCTGTTAAAATTAGTCAATAAGGAAGTTTAAACCAAGCTGGAAAGGTGTACAGCACTGGATGAAGGGCAGCGATGCTGTTTCCCATGGTGAGAAAGAGACAGCGGCTTTGCGTCACCAAGGGTGAGTCTGGGTGACCGCGAGGTCACCCCGTGATGAGTGGAGATAGAGTCAAGACCAAAAATACAGTCAGGAAAGCGAGTGCTGCCGGGGAAACAAACACACGAAGCATAACTCACAGTTTTGGAAAGCCCCCAGTGTTTTCAGCAACAGTCAGGATATAAATCAGATGAGCACTCAACTATTTGACCATTTACCTGAAGCCAACAAGTTTCAGGGAGAACATGTCTATACGTGCCTCCTCAGTGGGTTCTAGAATCTCCCCTCCCTCTTTTCCATTTCTCAAGTACGCTTCAGTCAAATGTCTGAGTAGGGTATTGTAGAGCCCGCAGGAAATACAGATGGGCCCCAGGACGGAAATTTGTGTAGCTTTGGCTGTAGCACTAAGACAGCAGTAAGCGCTGAGATGCGATCTTTGAAAGCATGGGCTCAGTGTAGGAAAAAGCCTCTTAAGCCACTCAGAACACGATCAGGCATCCAGGGCAGATCCGACAGACGCAGCAATGTAAGAATAGAAAAAGCAGGAAGGAACTTGCAGAAGTCACATAAAGGGGATGTTAGCAGCCTCAGGAGGCCACAGGGACACATTGGTGGGGAGGTAAGGGACACGTCATCAGTTTCCCAGGGTCTGCAGTTGTAGAAGGACCGGGAACTCTCTACATGTTCTTAACTTAATAAGCATAAAGGTTCAACTAGAGTTAGCTAGTCAATACAATTGGGTGTTAAATTGGCTTTTTCCTTTGACAATAAAGCATTTTCATAAGATGCAGTAACAAAAAAAAAACTGCCTTCTTGCTGTTTGAAGAAAATGGCCTTAAACAGTTTACAGTTTCTGAAAAAATAAAGGATGTTTTTTTAAATGAAGAATTTGTTTCAAAAGTGAAAACATTGTCTAACGTGTCTTTCAGAACCAATTGGAAATAAACATACAAAAAGAATTCATCTTACCAATGAGGTTAAGCAAGATTTGAAAAGAAAAAAAAATCAAAGACTCGAAATAATATGACACAGAGAAACAGTTTGGCAAAGCAGAAGGAAAATATGGAAGTACTTTGTCTCTCCTAAAACCCGGCCCCATGCCAGACATGAGCATCCAATAATGATAAATTAGGCCAAACCAATAATGAACGTGTGTCCACCTGACTTTGTATCATGGGACATCCACTAGACACAAATTGTTATTGTTCAGTCCCTAAGTCATGTTTGACTCTATTGTGACCCCTGTGGACTGCAGCCCGCCAGGCTCCTCTGTCCATGGGATTTCCCAGGCAAGAATAGTGGAGTGGGTTACCATTTCCTCCTCCATGGGATCTTCCTGACCCAGAAATCGAACCCATGTCTCCTGAGTCTCCTGCATTGGCAGGTGGATTATTTACCACTGCGTTACCTGGGAAGCCATGCATACGTATAATATATAAATGGGCTTCCCAGTGGGCTTTCCAGGTGGCGCAGTGGTAAAGAATCTGCCTACCAATGCCGGAGACGTGGGTTTGATCCCTGGTCCAGGAAGATCCTCTGGAGAAGGAAATGGCAACCCACTCTAGTATTCTTGCCTGGAGAATCCCATGGAGACGGGAGCCTGGTGGGCTACAGTCTATGGAGTCGCAAAAGAGTCAGACACAACTTAGCAATTAAACAACAACAAAACATATCTAAATATGCTACACATACTCTATGTATAATCATATATATGTGCATACATACTGTATATATAGTCATATGTATGTTTATATACATATATATACGGGCTTTCCTGGCAGCTCAGCTGGTAAAGAATTCGCCTGCAATGCAGGAGACTGAGGTTTGATTCCTAGGTTGGGACAATACCCTGGAGAAGTGACAGGTTCCCACTCCAATATTCATGGGCTTCCCTGATGGTTCAGATGGTAAAGAACTCACCTGCAACACGGGAGACCTGGGTTCAATCCCTGGGTTGGGAAGACACCCTGGAGGAGAGCATGGCAGCCCACTCCAGTATTCTTGCCTGGAGAATCCCCATGGACAGAGGAGCCTGGTGGGCTACAGTCCATGAGGTTGCAAAGAGTCGGAGATGACTGAACTAAAATATTTATTTTATTTAGGGCTTCCCTGGTGGCTCAGGTGGTAAAGACTACCTGCAGTGCAGGAAACCCAGGTTTGATCTCTGGGTTGAGAAGATCCCCTGGAGAAGGAAATGGCAATCCACTCCAGTATTCTTGCCTAGAAAATTCTGTGGACAAAGGAGCCTGGTGGGTTACAGTTCATGGGGTCACAAAGAGTCGGACACAACTGAGCAACTAACACTTTCACTTCATATATGTAAAACTGAATTACCTTGTTGTACACCTGAAAATGACACAAATCAAGTATTCTCTAATAAAAAATTTTTTTAAACAACAAAAGTCATAGTTTTCCAAGTTTCTAGCTCCTTAAATCTCTGCTGCCCAGCACTTCTGGGTTAGAAAGAGCAGTTTTATTTCTGACCAAATTGGGATACTCTTTCTCTAACAAAAGTTGTACAACATTCTTGCATCAGGCCCTTGATCAAGAAAATCTATTTTAATTGCTTCATCATTTACTTTTCATCCATTGTACTTATTTATCTGGTCAACAAACACCTATGTGGAAGGCAATTTTTAAAGTCATTCCTCTCTCTTTTTCACTCCAGAGAACTCAATAAACTAGAGACCATGTCTCTGATCTGCCTAGAGTTACATAAACACATGGGTGTGAATCACAGAGTAGCAGCAACAAATGATGATGCCTGCTCTGGGCTGTGGATAAGACAGCATCTCGCCACTCAGACTTCACACGTCCTGAGTTCCAGCTGCGGCGACTGAGTTTGAGCTGTGTCTACAGCAGGAGGTCACACAACAGCATGCTGACAAAATATGTTCCGTTAGGTTAACGAAGTGCATTTGGCACTTTTTCTCCCCACCCTTGTCTGCCTTTTGAAGTCTAGAAAGGTGTCACTTGTTAACCAAGTTACCACTTTTGAAAGAAACGCCCCCTGATTTGGAACTCTGCGTGGCCAGACTTGCCTTCTTTCCTGCAAGTCTACTGAAGTCGGGTCTGGTCTCTCACCTCAAGGCTGAAACTTCAAGGAGGTGGACAAGGGGAGGGAGGGGAAGAAGCAAACCTGCAATGGCCTCTTCCCTGCTCTTAAAGGCCACAGGAGCAGCGTCTTGGTCGATTAGTGTGTTTGTTTTCTGTCTTAATTTTTCCTCTCTCTCTCTCACCAGTCAGTCCCTGAACTATTGAGGATGGAGCTGCCTGTTTTTAAAAGGGCAATCCCACCAGATACAGGTATGATTGTTCAGAACCTAGCCCTTAAGGAAGGGAACAAGGTAGCCAGAATTCCATCCCTGGCTCTGTCTTATTAGGAACAAAGCAGTAGCTAAGGCAAACATGGTCATTCTATATCATTTATGCCATCAATTTGACTTTCTCTCCTTTAAAAACAAAATAACTTTAAAAAAAAAAAACAAGGAATTGAGGGGATTTACAGAGGTACCTAAAACAGGTTAAAAATGAACACGAATAAGGAAAATGTTAAGATGAATAAAGTAAACAATTTATAAGACATATCTACATGGGTTCCCAGGTAGCTCAGTGGTAAAGAATTTGCCTGCCAAGCAGGAAACTCAGCAAGACGGTAGGAGGGGTGAAATCTCATTTAGAATCAAAGCCATACCCACCAGAGACATTCAGAGGGCTCAAACAAACCTTGTGTACACCAGGACACAGAGACCCCGCAGAGACTCAGACAGAACTGTGTTTGAGTGTCTCGTTTGGAGGTATGGGTCAGCCGTGGACTGCCTCAGAGGCAGGGGCTCTGAGTGCAGCAGACTTGGGTATGGCTGGGTGCAGTAGACCTGGGTATGGCATAAGCCCTCTTGGAGGAGGTCACCATAAACCCCACCACAGAGCTGCCAGAACTTACACAGGACTGGGGAAATAGGCTCTTGGAGGGCACAAACAGAACCTTGTGCGCACCATGACCCAGGAGAAAGGAGCAGTGACCCTACAAGCAACTGACCCAGACTTGCTCGTGAGTGTCCAGGAGTCTCTGGAAGAGGCGTGGGTCAGTGGTGGCCTGCTGCTGGGTTGGGGACACTGAGTGTGGCAGTGCCTGCATGGGATCGACTGAAGGAGGTCACCATTATCTTCATTGCCTCCACCATAGTTTGGTCCTGGGTAAATAACAGGGAGAGAACACAGCTCCACTGATCAACAGAAAATTGGATTAAAGACTTACTGAGCATGGCCCTGCCCATCAGAACAAGACCCAGTTTCCCCCTCAGTCAGTCTCTCCCATCAGGAAGCTTCCATAAGCCTCTTATCCTTATCCAACAGAGGGCAGACAGAATGAAAACCACAATCACAGGAAACTAACCAATCTAATCACATGGACCACAGCCTTGTCTAACTCAATGAAGCTATGAACCATGCCATGTGGGGCCACCCAAGATGGACAGATCATGGTAGAGAGCTCTGACAAAACTTAGTCCACTGGAGAAGGGAATGGCAAACCACTTCAGTATTCTTGCCTTGAGACCTCATGAACAGTATCAAAAGGCAAAAAGACAGGACACTGAAAAATGAACTCTCTCCAGGTTGGTAGGTGCCCAATATGCTACGGGAGATCAGTGGAGAAATACCTCCAGAAAGAATGAAGAAAAGGAGCCAAAGCAAAAACAACACCCAGATGTGGATGTGACTGGTAATGGAAGTAAAGTCCGATGCTGTAAAGAGCAATACTGCATAGGAACCTGGAATGTTAGGTGCATGAATCAAGGCAAATTGGAAGTGGTTAAACAGAAGATGGCAAGAGTGAACGTCGACATTTTAGGAATCAGTGAACTAAAATGGACTAAAATGGGTGAATTTAACTTAGATGACCCTTATATCTACTACTGTGGGCAAGAATCCCTTAGAAGAAATGGAGTAGCCATCATAGTCAACAAAAGAGTTTGAAATGCAGTACCTGATTGCAATCTCAAAAACAACAGAATGATCTCTGTTTATTTCCAAGGCAAACCATTGAATATCAGAGTAATTCAAGTCTATGCCCTGACCAGTAATGCTGAAGAAGCTAAACTTGAACAGTTCTATGAAGACCTGGAAGACCTTCTAGAACTAACACCCCAAAAAGATTTCCTTTTTATTATAGGGGACTGGAATGCAAAAGTAGGAAGTCAAGAAATACCTGGAGTAACAGGCAAATTTGGCTTTGGAGTACAGATGAAGCAGGGCAAAGGATAATAGAGATTTACCAAGAGAACACACTGGTCAAAGCAAGCACCCTCTTCCAACATCATAAGAGAAGACTCTACACATGGACATCACCAGGTGGTCAACACCAAAATCAGATTAATTATATTCTCTGCAGCCAAAGATGGAGAAGTTCTACACGGTCAGCAAAAACAAGACCGGGAGCTGACTGTGGCTCAAACCATGAATTCCTTATTGCCAAACTCAGACTTAAATTAAAGAAACCAGGGAAAACCACTAGACCATTCAGGTATGACCTAAATCAAATGCCTTATGATTATACAGTAGAAGTGAGAAATAGATTCAAGAGATTAGATCTGATAGACAGAGTGCCTAAAGAACAATGGACAGAGGTTCATGACATTGTACAGGAGGCAGTGATCAAGACCATCCCTAAGAAAAAGAAATGCCAAAAGGCAAAACTGTTGTCTGAGGAGGTCTTACAAATAGCTGAGAAAAGACGAGAAGAGAAAGGCAAAGGAGAAAAGGAAAGATATACCCATTTGAATACAGAGTTCCAAAGAATAGCAAAGAGAGATAAGAAAGCTTCCTCAGTGTTCGATGCAAAGAAATAGAGGAAAATAATAGAATGGAAAAGACTAGAGACCCCTTCAAGAAAATTAGAGATACCAAGGGAACATTTCATGTAAAGATGGGCACAATAAAGGACAGAAATTGTATGAACTTAGCAGAAGCAGACAATATTAAGAAGAGGTGGCAAGAATACACAGAAGAACAATACAAAAAAGAACTTCACAACCCAGATAACCACGATGGTGTGATCACTCACCTAGAGCCAGACATCCTGGAATATGAAGTCAAGTGGGTCTTAGGAAGCATCACTGCAAACAGAGCTAGTGGAGGTGATGGAATTCCCGCTGAGCTGTTTCACATCCTGAAAGATGATGCTGTGAAAGTGCTGCACTCAATATGCCAGCAAATTTGGAAAACTCAGCAGTGGCCACAGGACTGGAAAAGGTCTGTTTTCATTCCAATCCC